ACATATTAATTCAAAACAAAAATCGTGAACTTTTTGGCTCAAATACGGCTTACAGCTCTTAAGTAATTGAGCTCGGTGCGAAGCGGACGTTAACCTGGTCTTTCACGATCCTTAAAGGGCCTATAATCTAACCATATAACCGTACAATACACTACAGTTAGGTCAATACATAATTACTAATCGGTTGGCGGAACAAGTACTACCGCTGCTCTTTTACCCATTCACAATTTTCCTTTGTATTGGAACTGCGCGCAGTGACTAGAAGGAATGAGGGCTTCTATCTATAAAATGCCTGGACAGATTTGCCTTAACAGTGCTTTGCACCTAAATAGTGAAACGGTGACTCTTTCAAGATTGCTAGCTTGTTCTAGAGAAAATGAAACGTTCGTATATCCTACCAAAGTTTACTAAAAAACATAAGTAGACAAAGGAGCCATCTTTATTACTGGTTACCCGCCCTTCTGTAGATCTATATTGAGGTTATAAGCAGGAAAAATCAACATCACAATAAGCTCTTACAGGGGGAAAATGAATATGGAAGATTACCGTTCTGGAATAAAAATAAAAATGATCACAGATATTTTTTGAATGTCAAATATAGCCATTAATCAGCAAATGTTTAGCGAGAGGAACCATTAGCAACCGCCTTATTCTCCGTGGAAATCAACTCATCCGGAACACCGAACACTCGTCCATTTAGTTTGTAACCATCGGGTAGATCGAATTTGTTCGGTAAGTCTTCGAAACGAACGAGCTTCTTTGGACATTCTTGCAGAGTTGCTAACACTTTCATGTCGTCAGCATTCAAAGAAAAGTCAAAGACCTTGAGAAAGTGAATATTTCGTTTCACACGTGTGACAGAAGCTCGTAGCACTCACATTCCTATTTTCGGCGATTCGATGTTTCTCTTTGCTTTTCGGGATGATAGGAACACCATGCTCAAGCGACCATCTGAGACATATTTGAGCTGGCGTCTTGTTATACTTTGAGCCAAGTTCCTGCAGCACTTCAGCGTCAAGAAATTTTCCCTTTGCTATTGGACAATAACCCTAAAACTCATTTTTGATTTGTCAATGACCTTGTTAAGTTAATTGATCTAATTGCAAACCGTGTATAAAATGTGATTTTCCTTACAAAACGATCTTAGATTGGTCGGATTATACCAAGG